CAACAAGTTAATAGCGTTTCTCAAACAAAAAAATAAAGGTTATAAACCAAAAAAATCCAAAATTTTTAAACGAGAAGATCTAATTAATTTTCTGTTGAAAGCTCCAGATTCCAAGTTTTTAATGATCAAAGTAAGTAAATGCCTCAGTAAATGCTTGAATGCTCAGTATAAAATTAAAATATACTGTAAAGTTTTGCAACGAGATGTGTGTTCGTATGGTGTGTTGCCTAACAAAATCAGTTGCTGTCCTAACAGGCCACCGGGGTTGTTAGGCAGCACATTATACCTAAAACTTTTATATTTTTTACAATAGCATTTATTTGGAGTTTTACATGCGCAACGTCAAGATATTTCCTAATGTTTAATAAATTATTTGTAACATTACAATATGTTATTTTTTAGGTAGCTTTTATAATTGGAATTGCGGGAGCTTTTCGCCGGGAAGAATTATGTAAAATGACAATTAACGATGTGGAAGATAAACAAACAGTGTATATTGTCAAAGTATCAGAAACCAAAAATGGAATAGAACACATTTTTACGATTTTAAATCAAAATAATTCTGCAGTTGATTATTTATCTTTCATAAAAAAATATACCTCATTAAGACCATCAAATATAAATTGTAAGAGATTTTTTTTAAAATTCGCAAATGGAAAATATTCTAAACAGCCTGTAGGGACAATTACTTTTGGTAAAATGCCAAGTGTTATAGCAACGTATCTAAACTTGCCCAATCCAACGGCTTTTACAGGACACTGCTTTAGGAGGTCTTCAACCACTATACATGCAAATTCTGGAGGAGACCTTCTAACGGTCAAAAAACATGGAGGATGGAAATCATCTGCTGTTGCAGAAGGCTACGTAGACAGCACAATAACACAAAAAAACAAAATTTCTAATAAAATTTTGATGGATGACAGTATGCCATCCACTTCCAAACAAAGCTACAATTTTACCGTTAACAACTCTAATGAAGAATTAGTGGAACCACTCGACAGTGAAACTAGAGTTACACAAAATATTTCTACCTCTTTACTTTAAAAGGCCAAATCCATACCACTCGAAGCTCAAAATAGGGTTACAGGAGTAATATCGCAACATTTTTCAAACTCTGTGCTGGAAAAGGCCAAAACCTTAAGTTTTGGTAATTGCAATAATTGCACATTCAATATTAATATTCATAAGAGTTAAAAACCTATTTTTTTAAATATTTCTTCATTTTTTGTTAGTCATTTTGTTCTGTAAGAATTATAAATTTGTAAAGTTCCAATAAATTTATTTTTGTTGCTGTGTAAAATTTTTGGCACATTTTACTTTTTTTCACTAGTGCGTAAAGTACTTTTTTTCACTAGTGAAAAAAAGTAACTTTTATATTTCTAATATTAGTGGATTATGTGTACGGTAGTAGAAAAAATATTGTATGCCACTCGTGTGTAAAGTCCCTTTTTTGACGAATCACATGAGTCAAAAAAGGGTAACTTTACACACTTGTTGCATAAATAACTATTACTCAAATACCATGAGAGATACATGTTTTTTGCAAGAAAGAAAAATGCTACAAATAAAAACAGCTCTCCACAAAAAAAATTTAGGGAACAGGGGCGGCCCCGAAAAAAAAAATACGATGTCATTTATGGTAGGATTAGGGTGGTTTACCCTTCCATAATTTCAGTTGGTGTAATTTTTGCTCTGAACAATGGCTCTTCAATTAAAATAGCTACACACCAAATTTTATAAAAATCGAACGAAGCGTTTTTGTGTTATTAAAAAAAATTGAAAATTTTCTTCCTACTTTGAAGCTTTCTCACAGGTAAACGATGGACTTTATGATATAGGTAATTTTGGCTCCATCGACTTATTTTAATCTCACCAACATACAGTAGATCTATGTACACGGAATTTTGGGACACCCTGTATATGCTGATAAGTAATAACTACGAGCCCCTTCCCATTTCAGTTGGCCCACCTATTGAAATTTAGGAAATTCGTATTTAAAGATTAAAAATATAAATATTGCATGAACTTTCCAATTTTTATTCATTGAACAATATGTTTAATATCGTTTAATCATAAAAAATATGTAGAAAACATTAAAATATTTATTTAATATAAAATAAAAAAAAAATAAACAAATAGTTGGAATCAAACGTTAATCAATTTTAAAGTTTACCATTGAGTAACGTCACCTTTATTTTTTATTACAGCTGAAATTCTTTGCGGCATGGTATTAACTAAGCTTTGGCAAAATTCTGGTGTAAATGAATCCCATATATCTTGAAGTTTTTGTTTAAGTTCAGGTATTGTTCTTGCAGGATGTTTTCGAAGTACCTTTTTCATCTCATGCTACAATGTTTCTATTGGTGATAAATCAGGACTACTAGAAACCCATTCCAAAAGTGGAACACCGAAGTCTTCCATCCATTTTAGAGCTTTTTTGACGTATGACACCCTGCTCCATCCTGTTGAAATACAAAATCTTTCCCTGATGTCAAATATAATTCCATAGTCGGTAAAAGTGATTCCTCCAAAATGTCCAAATATTTATTTGTATTTACAATTCCTTCAATAAAATGCAATTTCCCTATTCCTTTAGATGACATGCTGCCCCAGACCATGACCGATGCGGAAAATTTTACTTTTCTTTTGAGACAGTCTGGATGGAACGCTTCATGTTTTTTGCGAATAACTCGACTTCTGCTATCTCCAACACAAACTTCGAATCGGGCCTCGTCACTCAATTGTATTGCATCCCATTGATGAGAAGTCCATCTCATATGTTCTTTTGACCATCTTAATCGATTTTTTTTCTGTTTCGCAGTTAGTAGTAGTTTTTCTTTAACCTGTAACAAAATTGTCAATTTTAAGCAAACATATTTGATTGTTTTAGTGTCTTCAATCCATGTTTTTTATTGTTTTTATTATTATAAACTTACTTTGTAAGTCCCAAATCCCAATTTGCGAGCTTCTCTATGACATGAAGATCTCGAAATTCGTCTTCCAACAGCATCACTCCACTGAGCACTTAATTCAAGGTAATTAGCACGACGGTTAGTTTCAATAATTCTTCTCAATGCTCGTCTATCGGCATTTATAATCTTTTTCTAACATGACGGGGCTTTGGGCTGATTGAACCAGTAGTTTTGTATCTTCTAACTGTATTTCTTACACTATATCGTGATAAATCTAATATATTTGCAATTTCCGAGTTCGATTTTACAGAATTGCAATGTTTTATAACAAGAAAACGTATTTTTTCGTCAATGATTTTTTTTCTACCCATTTTATTAGACAAAATTAGCTTAAAAGAGGTTAAATTGTCTTGTGACAGTTATTTGCATTATTGTTTGTTAGTTTTTCAAAGCTACCTTCGATTTTGGTTTATTTTCTAACGCATTGAATTCAAGTTGAAATAATGCAATAATGCTCCATGTGTTAATAAATTTAAAAATAAATAAAAAAATTGATGTTTTCTAGTTCTAATATAATTCTAAATTAATGCATTGTTAGTTAATTTATGATTTAAAAAAGCATGTAATCTTTAATACTTTCTTATTGTCGTTATATAAAGAAAATATTAATAGGTGGGCCAACTGAAATGGGAAGGGGCTCGTATATGCAGTTTGTGGACAAACAATATACGAAATTGAAAGAAATTCTATACAGTTAAGTAGAAAAATTCAAATATTTAAGGATAATTATTCAGAAACAGAAGAAATTCACAGACTTTATGCAAATACTGTTATCAAAACAATTGCAGTTAAATTACATTTCCTATTTAGAATTTGATTATAATAATTGTTATATTATTATATTTTTTACTAAATTTGAATATTGTGATATTAGCAAACTAGCCAAATAAAAATAATATAAAAACCGACAACATACCTGGATATAATAATAAGTACATTTTATCTTTTAAATTATTAAAATCGATTAAATTGAAATGACACGTCAAACCATAAACGTCAAACTTTCAAAACAAACATACTTTTGTTGTGTTCCAAACAGAAAATACCGTTTATAGAATAATTTATTTACTTGCAACCTTTCCCTGCACACCACCTCGCCCCTCACCCCGAAACATGGTCAAATTGAGCTAAGCCATTTTACATTCGTCTGCATAGGGAATGTTGCAATTTTTCATTTTAGTGTATATTCCGTCTGTTCAGATGGCAGCATTTTATGGGCCCTACATCTTTAAATCTTATCACAAGAATCCTGAAATAATTAGGCAAAAATAAAGGAATGTATTTTGCGTTTTAACTTCTACATACTAAAAAAAATGATGGAAAGTCCATAACTTTTAAATATTTATTAAATATCACTTATTAAAATATTATGCATTAAAAGTAAAACAAACTATAGACTTCTATCATTCTTTACAGTTTTTTGATTTATGAAAACAGTTTTTGAAAATATTATCGTTCAGAGCTGTATTTCTTGTGATAAAAAAGTCGCCGTCACTTGTCATTGACAACGCGTTGAACTTGCCCTCAAACTGCCACCTTAAAATCGCCATGGAAACAGATCGACTGGCTTGTTTTTCGATCTGTCAACGAATGCGGGAACTAAAATCATCGGTAAAGAAGGTAGAAAATGGTATTACCGCGTTTTTAATTTGAAATTTCGGCTTGTATTTTATTTCTCAATTTTCTTCGTTATTACATCGATTTGAGAACTGGTTTCAACATAATTGTAATTGGTTTTTAATAGACTATTTGCTTGTCTTCGTAAAAAAATAATATTTAATTTTTTTATAATTGTTTAAACTATTATTTTGATTGTTTTTAAAATTGCATTATTGATATTAGCCTCAGCAACTGATTTGATTTATTTAAAAAATGTTTACCTATTCTTAGGTCTTTATCTTTTATAGTTTTCAAATTCATTTGGAACTAAAATTAAAAGCACATAAACTTCCACCTTAATATTTTTATATCAAATGATGTGAAAATAATCAATGATAATATTCTAACTATATTTTATTTATTTTCTAGGATACTAAACGTGATGACCGATTTGAATTGGAGTTTCTAAAAGGAAAAAATAATACTAAGTAAGTATTTATTAATAAGTTAATAAAAGTAAAAAAAAATTTACAAAGGACCTAAAAAGATCGACAGTCCTAATTAAATTTATATACAAAAACATTTGTAATTTTATATACATATAAATATTGTAGAAAAGAAAACAAAACACTGGTTGTATCAACAGTATCTACAACTACCACTGCACAAAATACGACTACAACACCATCAACATCATCAACACATGAGAACGCAAACTCAATAATAAAGAATTTAACAGAAGACGAAAGCAGTACTACAACATTATTACCATCAACAGATAGGAACGCAAACTTAATACCAGAGAATTCAACAGAAGACCAAATCACTACTACAACATTATTACCATCAACAGATAGGAACGCAAACTTAATAACAGAGAATTCAACAGAAGACCAAATCACTACTACAAACAAAATCCGCTCTACTACAGAAGAATACATTTTTCCTGATGATGAATCTGGGACACCAACTCGATACACTACAGTTGGTCCCACACCAGGTAATTATTAAAATACATCGAAATTCTTAGATTAAGGCAATCAATCATTATATCCAGTTACAAAAAGCGGGTCAGAAGAACAACATCTTATATGGTTGTAAGTATATCGGTAGGAGCTAGGTATAGTTGAAGGTAAAGATATTCTTTTTGTTTCGGCAAAACAAAGGAAATCGTATTTAAAAACACGTATAACGGCGACCTAAGGACGGACCTAATTAGTTGTATGTTAGGCTTTAAAGAGAACATAAACGATTTAAATATCACATTAATAATAATAATAATGTTTATTCATAAAAAGAAATACAATAAAAATACAATAAAAATACAATAAAAATACAATAAAAATACAATAAAAATACAATAAAAATACAATAAAAATACAATAAAAATACAATAAAAATACAATAAAAATACAATAAAAATACAATAAAAATACAATAAAAATACAATAAAAATACAATAAAAATACAATAAAAATACAATAAAAATACAATAAAAATAAAAATACAATAAAAATACAATAAAAATACAATAAAAATACAATAAAAATACAATAAAAATACAATAAAAATACAATAAAAATACAATAAAAATACAATAAAAATACAATAAAAATACAATAAAAATACAATAAAAATACAATAAAAATACAATAAAAATACAATAAAAATACAATAAAAATACAATAAAAATACAATAAAAATACAATAAAAATACAATAAAAATACAATAAAAATACAATAAAAATACAATAAAAATACAATAAAAATACAATAAAAATACAATAAAAATACAATAAAAATACAATAAAAATACAATAAAAATACAATAAAAATACAATAAAAATACAATAAAAATACAATAAAAATACAATAAAAATACAATAAAAATACAACAAAAATACAATAAAAATACAATAAAAATACAATAAAAATACAATAAAAATACAATAATAAAAAAAATGTGAACAAACAATTTATAATCACAGAAGCTGTAAGTGCGCCGACTTGATATACGTGATATACGAATATGCTTATACATTAGGCATACATAAGAGTATCGACGATAACAGGTAAGTCACTTTTTATGATCAAATAATGTCACAATAGGGATTTTGTTTCTATAGATTAAAAAATTATTTTTCGTGGATGTATCAGAAAATAACGAGACTGGTGCTACAGTATAACAACGTAACATTTATTTAAAAAAATTCAACAACTATCCTTCGAAGTACTCTTCATTCTGTTGAATACACTTATTCCATCGCTTTATCCACTTATCATAAAGTTCTGAGAAACCATTTTTTGATAGTCTGTTTAGTATACCCATCACAGCGTTGTTGAGATCTAAATCCGACTCAAATCTTCTACCTGTCAATTCTTTTTTGACTTCAGGAAACAAATCGAAGTCACATGGAGCAAGGTCAGGAGAGTAGGGGGGATGAGCCATAATTTCAACCCCTAATTCTTCAATTGTTCGTTGACAAATCATTAATCTATGAGCCGGAGCATTGTCTTGATGCAGCGTCCAGCCAAAGTCCGGATAGAGCGGCCTTTTTTTCTTTAATTTTGCCTTTATGGATCCTCGAAGTACATTAGAATAGTACTTCCCTGTTACTGTATGTCCTCTAGGTACAATGTGATCGTAAATAACGCCAAATTTATCAAAAAAATCAGGTGCATCACTTTACCAGCGCTTTTAGCAGTTTTGGCCTTCTGCGGTCTTGGGCTGCCTTTATGCTTCCATTGCATACTTTGAGACTTCAATTTAGGATCGTAATGATAAAACCAACTTTCATCACATGTAACCACATTATTTAAAAACTGTGGGTTACGTTGCAATTGCCTTTTCCACTGCTGACAAATTGTCACTCGATTCGCTTTTTGTTCATCGGTCATCACTTTTGGAATCCATCTTGCCGCGATCTTCCGGTACTCTAAATCTTCATTAATAATTTTTTGAGTGATACCGTAAGACAAGTTAACATTGTCAGAAATTCGTTTTCTGCCAATCCGGCGATCATTTTGTATCAAGTCGTTAATTTCTGCAATTTTTGTGTAATTTCTCGCAGTTTGTGGTCGACCGGGACGAGGTTCATCTTCAACTGATTCACAACCGTCTTTAAACTTATTATGCCACTCAAACACTCTACATCGTGATAAACCATTATCTAGAATTGCACCTTTAATCATTTCAAAAGTTTCAGTTGGTGTTTTACCCAATCGAACACAAAATTTTATCGCGTATCTTTGCTCCACTTTCATTTTTCGATGGGTACGCAAAACACTGACAATTCAATAATTAATTTGTAACAAATGTCAAAAGATAAATCAAAGCCTACTTGCGGGGTAGTACATTAAATATAGGCTTTCATGTCTCATTGTTTGGGTTATAAAATGTTACCTCTGAAAGAAGTTATAGCACCAGTCTCGTTATATACTGATATATCCTGATATAATAATATTAATAACAACAACAATAATAATCATAATAATAATAATAATAATAATAATATCTGGCTGAAGAAAGGTGAACTACATCCTGATAGAGAAGGGTTCATAATAGCCATTCAGGACCGGGTCATACGAACCAGGAATTACAAAAGGCATATTATGAAGTTAAACACTCAAGACAACTGCAGAAAGTGCAATAAGGTAGGGGAAACTATAGAACATATTACTGCTGGGTGTAGTGCTTTGTCAAATACTGCTTTCTTAGGCCGACACAACCAAGTGGCTAAAATAATATACAGGGTGGACGGTCCACCCTGTATATCGAACTAGTTAAAAACTATGAGTTGCTCGAAAATCCCAAGCCATACTACAAATTCAATCCTAATCAGGTATTAGAAAATCAGGATGCAGTATTATACTGGGACAACCCAATATTAACGGGCAGAACAGTTGATTATAACAGACCAGACATTCTTCTTATTAACAAAAAACTTAAAACTGCCTGGATTATAGATATAGCTTGCTCTATAGATAACAATATAACTAAAACTGAAACAGAAAAACGAAATAAATACGAAAATTTGGCTATAGAAATTAAACATATTTGGGAGTTAAAACATATAAAAATCATACCAATAGTGGTGTCTGTTACAGGAGTCGTGTCTAAGGGTTTAGAAAATCAAATTAAATTATTGGAAATAAACAACAACACTATCAAAAGACTACAAAAAGCTGCTATATTACAAACTTGTCATATTGTCCGTAAATTCCTCAATATCTAAACAAAAGGTTATAACTAAACAAGACCAAAATAAACAAGTGAGATAGGGTGAATTCCCCTCACTACACATTGTTTCCATCAGCTCAAAGCCGACAAAATGTTAAAAACAAAATAATAATAATAATAATAATAATAATAATAATAATATAATAATATTAATAATAATAATAACAATAATAATAATAAGAAAAAAAAGTTTTTGATTATTTTAAATTTACTCCTTGTTTAAACATGATTTACAATGTTGTGGAAAAAGTCTCTATTTTTTGATTTCATCCCTATTTTAATTTTTGCTTTAAAATAGCCTAATTTGGATATATTTTGTAGATCAACTGGGATCTGATTAAAGAGTTTTGGGTCCAAGTAGTCAAAACAGCGCTGACCTGTAGTTGTCTCTCGCTTAGGTAAGTTATACGTTTTTTCTTTGTTTCTTGTGTCATGGATATGTGCTAGACGTTGTAACTTGTTTTTATTTTTTTGATAATATAAAAATATTTTTAGACAATAAATTTGTCTTACATCTATGAAATCACTAATGTTATAAAGCTGGAAAACAATATATTTTTTTTATAAATTATTCTAATAATCCATTTTGAATTACATTTAAATTTTCCAAGTGACAGTTATTGACTCCTCCCCATCCAATAGTTCCATAATTAAGATGTGATTGTATTAATGAATAATATATTTTCAAATGATTTAAATCTAGAAATTCTCTTAAGCATTTAAATTTTGATAGAAATCCGCTTAACTTCTGGGTAACATATTTAGTTTGCAGGTCCTATTTTAAATGACGGTCAAAAATTAGTCTTAGATATTTAAATTTTTCTGTTTCTGAGATTTTTAAATTATTGTCTATGAGTAAAGGTCCAAAATTGGGAAGTCCAGGAGAGTATGATGAAAATGGCATATATTTAGTTTTCTCTATATTTAGAGTTAATTTGTTATAATTCCTAGCGATTTCTTTTTTTAAAGACCTTATAGTTTTTTCAACTTATTCATTTGTTTGGAATAAATACATTGTTCTACCGAGATGTTTTATATTTTTGACATTATTTGTGGGGACAATAATTTTCTCGGCATAATCTTTACCCAGATCACTAAAAAAGTTATTAAATTAATTGGCTATTTTTGTTTTGTTATGTATTATTTCTTCATTACTCTTAATAATTTTTTGTATTTTATTTTCAGGGTGATTTTTACTGCATATGGTATTAACACATTTCCACAGCCCTGTTGACGAATTTTTATTTTTATCAATTAAATTGTTAAAATAAGTTTTTTTACTTTTTCTATTAATTTTGTCAGCTTGTTCTTGATTTACCGATATAAATTTTGTAGATTACGCTTTATTAATAGATAATGCTCATTTTTCATTTATTTATTTATTTAACAAACTTGTTGTTATCCATAGCTTTTTAGAAATTTTAACCATTTTTGGTATTATTATTTACTAATGTTTTTTGATAAGATTTATACATTCGTCGGTCATTAAGTCAATAGTTGGTATATTATATCCCAATTTTTATTTTGCAATTGTATCCTAAGTTTTTGATAATCAATAAATTTTTTCATATTTTGCTTTGTTTTTTGTATTTTTCTCTTGAAAGTTTAAGTTATCTATATTTAAGGCTATGGGGCTATGGTCAGTTATATCAATATTGAAGATATATGATTTAAGGGAACTATTTGAATTAATAGATTTTTTTACAAAGAAATGGTCGAGACAAGATTTACTACTCGGTCTAGTAAAGTGATTAATTTAT